TAGTGTCTATGCTCTTAATAATTTATACATATAATTTACTACAATTTTAATTCTTTTTTTTGATGAATTAGGTACTTCTTTTTATTTTTGGAAAAATTTGCTGTATAATTTTATCAATTATGAATTAAAATTCTTTTATTAGTGTTGACTTGACACAAAAAGATATGGCATCTACTCGTGGTCAAAATAATTTGTTGTCTTCTTAAACAACTTTCGGCTCTAACGTTTCGATTGCAAATAAGAACAGCATATCTGTCAGCCATTTTCACTTTCGTGTAGAGATCTCACATGTTCAACTCAAAGTGAGTAAGAACTCAAATGGTGAGATGGGAAAGCACGTCAGTTATAACTCGAGACTACCAATCTAACATCAGTGTGTGAGATGGTACCACATGACAGCTTCAACACATTGGGAGTTGTAACACAAAAAACTGGAGACTAAGGGCCCAGAATGGTTTTGTTTTAGAGATGTATTATCACTGTGACACTCCTTAATTCTCTCTATAACATATATTTTTGGAGAGTATAATAAGATAGCAGTTATTCAACTTTTTATGCTTTTAATATTTCTGTAAAAAGAATATCCTCTTTATCTGAAAACGCAGGGAAAAAACTAAATTTCAAGATAAACATGTTTGAGATACACAGGTTAAACTGTATTATTAAAATCTTTAATAATACATAATAATAAATCATATGTTATGTAAAATAAATGCATCATTTATTATAAAAAAAATGTAGTTATAAATCTATATAATAAAAATATCATCATTATACCTGAAGTGAATTTGAACACCTTCCTCTAGGTGCAGGAGGTAATTGTACTTCTTCAGGTTTTAAAGAAAGAAGGCTTTTATGAAAAGAAGCTAAAAGAAAAATAATTATTAAAAAGATATTAAATATTTTATATTTAAATTTGAAAATTAAAAAAAAAATCTTTAAATTAATACTTGGAGAATATTGCCATGTATCCAAATCATTTAACTTTTCATCATCTTCCTACACCAAATAAACAAATATTTATAAAAATATTTATAATTTCTGAAAGTATAAGTTAAAATTAATAATTACACAATAAAAGGATATTTTAGAATAATACAGACATACCTCAGTTTATGGATTTTGCTTTAGAGTGCTTTAATACAGTGCTTTTCAATTACATTCATGTTTTATTACTTTCAGTGCTTGTTTTGCTCTTAAGGAGGTTTTGTTACTCACTATTTTTATTTTTGTATTGTTTTCTTATGTCCAGTACTATTGCATAATTAAAATATTTATTATATATGTTTTTAAGATTTCACACACAGTGAAAAAACTGATTCATTTAATGATTTTATGGCAGGAATTTATAACCTTATCTGCCATATTAGTGAGGTATGCCTGTAATATATTTAGGCAATAATAAGTAAAATAAAATGGTTTATTATAGCATTTTAGATTAATTTATAAATTTTTATGTTTTATACATTACATAATTGTATTGTTTGTATATTTTATATGTGATTTTTTATATCTAAAAAAATATTTCAAATTTTAAAAAGAAATTCAAAAATATTATATTTACCATAGAATCATCACTATTTGCTCTTTCTTCAAAATCAGAGTCTTCTTTTTCATCGGCGTCATCTATAGTTCCTTCTGAATAGGAAATCAGTTTTGATATCTGTTTTCTTGCTATGTTGTCATTCACTTCTGGTGCTAAGATTCAATTTCAAATTAAAATGATTAGTTAAGTATAATTTATAATTAATTTCTTTTAAATATAATTATGATTAGTATGTAAAAAACTAAGATTCGAAAATAAATAAGTATAAAAACTTACAAAACAAAGATATGTATTTCAAAAATAAGACTGTATATAACTAAACCAAGTTCAAATTTTAAATGTAAAAATAAAACAAAAATGCTTCTGAGAGATCAGGAGCTGTGAGGCTCTACTCGCTCTGTACAAGATGGATGATCTTATTTTGTTTTGAAAAATCGTAAGATCATTCAAATGTCAGGAGTCTGACACCAGTTAAAATAAATATTTTATATCGCGTTCCAACTCACGATAGAGATTGAATTATTTCAATTTTATTCTGAGTGATAAGGAGGGGATATTAATTCAGCAATGAAAGTAGGCCTGATCCAATTTAGAATATAAAACAACTGTATTTATGTATACAAAGAAAAATAATGATAAAGATTACAAAATAACATACTTGATAAATTTCAATATGATTATTAAGCTAATTAATTAATATTTAAAATAACACTATATACATTCCAAATCTCAATACAAGGATAATGCAACTAGGCCTGATCCAATTTAGAATATAAAACAACTGTATTTATGTATACAAAGAAAAATAATGATAAAGATTACAAAATAACATACTTGATAAATTTCAATATGATTATTAAGCTAATTAATTAATATTTAAAATAACACTATATACATTCCAAATCTCAATACAAGGATAATGCAACCACCGACCACTAAACTATCCTATCTTAAAGTTTACATTTATTTGCATCGAGAAAGAGTTTTACAAATTATTTCATTCGTTATCTGGGGATGTAGTGCAAGAATCTATTTGTTGGTTGAAAAGACTTCTTAATGGGATTGATGTATCAAACGTATGCCAGAATAACAAAGAATTTATCTACATGGTTAAACAGTGCACTGCTAATGACATGATATTCATAACTGAAAGCATTGATAAAAGGTGACCACCACCTTCTATACCAAATCCATGGACCAATGAAGGTTGTCCATGACTTGTTTCTGTCACTCCTAAAACTTTTGTTTTAGAAGGAACTCTTAACTTCCTCTGATCCAACTGATTCACAGGAAGAAGAAAGATGATGTACATCAATAAATTTTTCTCTTTTTCAAGTGAAATAAAATAATATTTTAAACTAAATTAATTTAGTTTAAAATATTACAAAATTATATAAGATTATATTAGGAACATTTTAAACATTAAAATGTTCCCTAATATAATCCTGGTTTTCACATTTCTATTTACTATTTTTTAAGCAATGCATATATTTTTGAACTCTTATTTGATGTTCTGAATGAAAGTTCACCTGATGAAATATTTATATAGAATATTGGAATAAATTATCCATAACTCTACCACATTGCTTAAAATGTAACCCCTATTGTAAGAAGCTTATCTCTGTAATTTATATTTAAGAAAAATACAAATATGTTTGAAATAATACAACTAAATGTCTACAAAACACAGGTAAATCTAAGAATCAAACTGAAAAGAGATCTGACCCGAAATCATCTTTGTAATACGTATACCAAATAAAGTTTTGTTTATTCCTGTCATTTCCAACATCTACCGTTTGATAAGTCTGTAACAAAGTAACACTTTAGATCCTTCAAATGATATTAAAACAGAATAAGACACTTGAATACCAACAATGAATTATAACTGTTTATTATATTCAAGTAAGAATAGTGTTCAAATAGGAACAAATTATTAAAAAAAGTTTTAAAAATTAAAAAATTTGTACATAAATTTATATTAATTACAGTATTAAACTTATTGAATAACTTCACCACTTATCATTTCTATGCTTTTATTTTACTATTTAAATATTTCTTTTATTAAAATAATGATAAAATCTTTCTCAAAAATATTTCAAATGTATAGATTATGTCCAAACTTTATTAATATATATTAAATCTATACTAATATAATAAAGAGGTAATGTTTGTATGTTAGTTTGTATGCAGCAGGTAATCTCCAAAACTACTCATCCGATTTCAAAAATTCTTTCACCAATATTTAGANTAAATTTATAGCTAAATAATAAAGGCAAACTGCAACATTTTCTATATTTTTTCAGAATAGCAACTGCATAAATAAGATAAAAATAAGAGGAAAAACAACATCCATGTTGTTGTATGTGTTGTTTCCACATTTTATTTCCACAGTTTAGTTATCAATTTATTTTTTCTTGTCTTATTATTAAAATCCCATCAGAAAGTTGTATAGTGGTCATTCTACTCATACTCTATTCATCACAAAAAAAAATCATACTGTATATGCTGTCATATAATTTGACATTTTTAAGGCCTGAAGAAAAAAAACCCCCTCCAAAACTAGTGTTGATTTTTATAACAAAAATAAAATGCAATCCTTCAAACAGTGTGGAACAATGCTACTAACAATCACTGTGAACCATTTACTGTAACTCTAGTAAGCCACTACAAATATTTAAAATTAAAACTCATGCTTGGTTTATTGAACTGACAGAGATCAATATAATTGCCTGGGCTAGCAGTAAGCAAGCTAGGCTTTTGGGATGACTTTTGTGGTTTCATTTTGGCGTTTTAAATTCCACATTAGATTTTGATGAATTTGGTGTCAAAATGCTCGGTGAAATCCTGGCATATGCAAAAAATAATTTCTGAAAAATATAATTAACTCTGAGATACGATATAATCAAAAAACGAAAATGTTGAGTTTTACTTCTTTGATGCTTAATAACAAAAAAGTATTTTGACATTTTTGGGTAATTTTTTTGGAATATAAAGTCAGTGAGTTGCTTCATATTTTTGGTGACTTTGGTGAATTTAGGTTGAACTTTGGAAAAATTATCCGAGTTCAAAAAAAAAAGGAACCAGGTTTACATCCTATGTGGAGAGCCCCCATGTACTTGCTCTCACTGTTACAGCAGCTGTATTGGCAGTAGTACTGTCTCATCCCCACTAGATGGCACCTTTCACTAGTTCTAATAAAGGGGAAATTTTCCACAATTTCCTCCAATCAAAATATTCTGGAACTGGAGCACAAAATTGGACCTGTCCAGGACTGTTGAAGATTGAGGGGGAGAGAGTTCCCTGGAGTCAAAACTGAACAAAATCTCAAACATGGCTGGTTTTAATGAGTAACGCCAATTTATTGAAGACTTTTCCTGTTTAAATGCAAAATAATTTTACAGTAGACCCCCCTATAACGCTTAGATACGTTCCACGCTAATCGAATTTTACGTTGTAGGAATGATTAAATACATGAGCCAATCGCAGCCCAATAGGTGTGAACTTTACGGACTAAGGCTGTTTGAAAGGTTTTCTTCTATAAAATTAACCGATTCTAGACTAATTCCACTCAACATTTCCAAAACACGTATAATTTTTTGGGAATAATCTGTATAAACTATGCTATAAACAAAAAATTATAGGATTACTTACCGAGTGTGCACC